GAGAGAGAGAGAGAGAGAGAGAGAGAGAGAGAGAGAGAGAGAGAGAATGTGAATAGCGGCTTGAACACTACTGGGCTTAAAACGTCTTAAACAATTGGTGTGGAACTGAGGACTTATGAGTTAAAAAGTTACGACTGGATGCTGCAACGTGGTAAAGAAAAAAAAAAAAAGACAGTGGAGCTAAAAAAAAAAGCTAGACTTAGGCTCGGGCTATCCCCTATAGGCTCATGCCGTTCCTTCCAGCCGGTAGATCTCGGTTGCTCCAGTATAGATAGGTAGGTAGTGAGAGGTATATTGAGTGAAGAATATAGCTTCTTTTTTTTTAAATAAAATAATATAATAAAGAAAAAAAAAACATGAACTGGAAGAGGACCGTATTTTCTTTTGTGAAGTTTTTCTTTTTTTACCACGTTGCAGCATCCAGTAACTTTTTTTTTTTTTTTTTTTCCAGTCATAAACTTTGTGACGCTGTTTTGGTCCACTTGCTATTCATTTTTTTTCTGACTTAGCTCCATTACCTCTCCCCAGCCGAGTACTTGGACGTGCAAACATCCAGGTGCATGATCTGAAGCGGGATGTGTAGTCGTCCAGTTGCATTATGGCAGAACCTTTGGAGCAAGTAATGCGAAGCACGGAGGCGTTGTGATAATGGATGGACAATACGGAAGGAAAGCAAATCAAGAAATAATTCAGTATAATGTATTTATCCTTGAGTGCGTGGGTAAACCTTGTATTTATCCTTGACTTGCTCCGCCGAATGGCAGGAGCCAGAACCGACCAAAAGGTTCTGTTTTGTTAAAAATAAATAAATACAAGGGGGTGGAATAGGAACCGGACTGTTGCTCCCCAGAATGGCAGGAGCCAGAACCGAGAGGTTCTGTTTTGTTTAAAAAAAAAAAACAAAAAAAAAAAAACAAAAAAAAAACAAGGATAGACGAGCTGAAGCTGGATGTGGAGGTAGAAGGAGGCCGAGTACTGATGTCATGAGACCAGGCGTTGTGTTCGGGGGAAGAAGATATGGAGGGGTGGCAGTAGCAGGAGGAGGAGGTAAACTGGTAGATGTAGGAGGAGGAGGGGAGAAGAGGAGGCGGGGGAGGAGAAGAGGATGGAAAGAGGAGGCAGAGAAGAGGAGAAGAGGAGGAGGAGAAGAAGAGACGATGAGGAGGAGGAGGAGGAGAGGAGGAGAGGAGAGGAGAAGAGGAGGAGGCGAAGAAGAGAAGAGGGGGAGGCGGAAGAAAGATGAGCAGGAGATTGGGGGGGGGGGGGGGGGGATATTGAGGAGAAGAGGAGCAGCCGTTGTCAATGAACGCAGAAGAGTAGGAGGAGAGGAAAAGGTAGTCGGAGGAGGAAGAGGGAAAACGGGTTTGCAGATGAGGGTTAGGAGGAGAGCAGGAGGAAGAGGAGAACTAGGGAGGTACGGCTTTGCGTAGTCGAGGGACTAAAGGGGGGGCGTGTGGGGGGGGCAGGGTCAGGATAAAAAAGGAAGGAATAAAACAAAAAGGAATAAAAAAAGACTTGAAGACAAGGAGGGTAGGGGCAGGAGGTAGAGGACGAGCATTATGATGGAGAACAGGGATGAGGGATGAGAAGAAGAGGAAGAGGAAGAGGATTGAGGCGATGACGGCGGCGGAGGAGGAGGAGAGTGATCAGGATGTACAGTAGAAAATAGATATGGACAAAGAAAAAGAGGCCGACAAGGAGCGCTGCTTAGTAGTGCTCATAATGACTGCATCAAACCGGAAAGATAGCTTGTATACGTGCATTATCAGGTGCGTTGTGTTCGGGGAAGACGGTTGGCGAGGTGCTTTTGGAGCGGAAGGTGACCGCCATAGCTGGAAGCTTGATCACCATAGCTGGGAGCTTCATCGATCAATCAATCAATCAATCAGTCAATCAATCAATCAATCAAATCAATCAATCAATCAAATCAATCAATCAATCAATTAATCAATCAATCAATCAATTAATCAATCAATCAATCAATCAATCAATCAATCAATCAATCAATCAATCAAATGAATGAATCAATCAATCAATTAATCAATCAATCAATCTTGATGGGAGCTTGATCACCAGCTGGGAGATTGATCACCATAGCTGCGAGGAAGAAGGTGGACATTTTTGTTGACGTCAATCAGAATGGCATCACCCTGGAGCTGCACGAGATTTCATCTCCAGTGGACAACGTCAAGAGTTTGAGATGGCATCGCCATAGCCAGAACTTCATGATTGTTAGTCCTGCAGAGTGGCAGAGTGACATGATTGAACTCATCATTCGGCTCTTTATTGAACGCCTAAAGATTGGACTTTTGATTGGACCCTTGATTGGACTTTGGATCGGACTGTTGATTGCACTCTGGAAGACTGGATTCTTGGAGATTGGAGTCTTAAAAGGTTGGACTCTTGAAGAATGGAGTCTTAAAGGGTCGGACTCTTGAAGATTGGACTCTTGATTGGACTCTTGATTGGACTCTTGAAGATTGGACTCTTGAAGATTGGACTCTTGAAGATTGGACTCTTGATTGGACTCTTGAAGATGGACTCTTGAAGATTGGACTCTTGAAGATGGACTCTTGAAGATTGGACTCTTGATTGGACTCTTGATTGGACTCTTGATTGAAATCTTGAAGATGGAACCCTTGATTGGAGTCTTGATTGGAGTCTTGATTGGAGTCTTGATTGGAGTCTTGAAGATTGGACTCTTTGAACTCTTGAGGATCGGACTCTCGAAGATTGGACTTTTGATTGGATTCTTAGTTGAACTCTGGATTTCACTCTTGAATGGACTTTTGATTCGACTCTTGATTGGACTTCTTTGGTAGAACTCCTGATTAGATTCCTCAAGATTGAAGTTCATTGAACCCTTGAAGATTGGACCTTCGAACGTTGGACCTGCAAAGATTGGTGGAAATGTGGATGGATCCTTGATTCGACTAGGTTGGGTAATTTCTGAAATTCTTTTACAGAATTGAATCAATGGATGATAAAAAATCAAATAAAATTTAGTACATACAATTTATATAAAAGGTAAAATCAAAGTTTTCAAACCCTTTAGACTCCTCTAAGGTACACTACGCGGTCAAAATCGCAGAATGGCAAAATCAGCGGCCAGATCGAGTCCTCCTTTCAGAAGGACTCTATCGAGCCGCTGATTTTGCGATTCTGAGCGCATAGTGTGAGTATACTCTAAGTACTGTCAATACACCTTGGAACCCCCTTTAACCCCGCAAATGATGGTTAACAGGGTCACATCTTTTCAACAAATACACTCTGCTTCGCGCTCCATGGTTTTCTGACAAGGGCAAAACCTCTTTATAAGAATCTGTTTTTTTTTTCTTTTTTTTCTTTTTTTCTGTTTTCTTTTTAGTAGGTTGTCCGGATTTCCAGACAGGTAGTGATCTGGCTGGACATCCAGGTCGGGACATTCATCCAGGTCTTGACATCCAGGTGCGTACCGCCTGGTAGCATAGATATAAAACTGTCTACCTATTCGATTCCTTAACAGCCGCATCTCTTTCTCTCTCTCTCTCTCTCTCTCTCTCTCTCTCTCTCTCTCTCTCTCTCTCTCTCTGTCTCTCTGTGTCTCTCTCTGCATTTCAAAGAAAGTGTGTGTGGAGGCTCGAAGTATGGACAGGGGCCCTGAACGGACAGTGGAGACGCAGCTCATGCACCACCCAGGCACAGAGTGGAGGGCATCAGACCGAACCTTTCGACCATTTAAGGTACCCAGGCGCCCAGCGACCGCCCCCCACAACACTGTGCACCATGAGAGAGCCATCACACCACCCCATAGAACACCCATACATACTGAGCCCCCGACTCGGACAGAACACTACAAGGACACTAGAGACTCAGAACACCCCATACATCAGCCTACACAACCAGAGGGACCGTCCTCCCAACGGGTACCCGGCCCTAAGATGCGACTGCGCCGGAGTCCTATCGAAAGGGACCTTGCAAGAGCGGGCGCTTGTTCAAGACCATTGTACCCTACTTGCAGCTTGTGCCACAAGTGTGCACCTGAGTTGGGCCGGCCTCGAACCCGCAACCTGCATTTTACAATGCAGGCGCCCAAACAACTGGGCTCCGAACAGTCGCTAGATGCGAATGGCCACTACATCGGTCGACGATCCCCCGCCTGGTGTACTCTGTGCATGTGCGGAGTTTTGAACCCGCAACCTTAGACAGACCGCAAAGCGCATTTCCAACCGGTGCCCTAACCACTACCGTCTTCACCCGAATAGAACGCCCGGTAATTATCGCTGCATCTGGACAGCAAATTGCCCCAAATACGGCTATAATGACCGGGCATTCTATGCGGGTGAAGACGGTAGGCAATTGTGGGTGTACCAACTGAGCTAAGCCCATTGGTTGGGTTCAGACATTTGTTTGTAGTAATGAATGATTTTGGGATAGGTTTGCGGATGTGGCAGCCAATTAAGGAAAGAAAAGGGGGGAAAGAAGAAATTTAAAATTCGGTGAGTAAAAAATAAAAAATAAATAAATAAAAATTCGGTGATTAATTTTCTAATGGTTGAGAAAGGAGGAAAAAAAAGAAAATTTGACTGATGGTTGTTATCAATGTTTTGCTTATGATATGTCATTGGCAGTTGGATCTTCCAGGACAAAGGAAACTTCAGTGTACTCTCAAGGGCCGACTGCATAAGGTGGAAGACGACAATGCTAGAATGGTAAGTGGGCTCTTCATTTTCTCTCTTTCTTTCTTTCTTTCTTCTTCGTCTTCTTCTTTTCTTTTTCTTTTTTTTTTAGCAAAGAAAAAGAAGTCCCCTTCCCATCACGGGGAGCAGCAGCTTCCCTCACCACCACTGGCAGGTAAAATATGAGTTACACAGCCCACAACCACACACACACAATTCTCCCCCTTTCCCATTGAGCCTGAGAGAACTCATGAATAATAATAATTCCGTGAATAAATAAATAAATATTAAATAAATAAATGTCACCAAAAAAAAATAAAATCCTAGTACGACACAGCTACTCCGACGCTAAACAAATAAATGAATATATTTCTTAACTACCGTAACCATCACCTTACCGCGACAGATTTCCTTAAACCACCACCACCACTCCGACGGCCCCTGCACTGTTCATTTTTCTTGTCATCATTTTCCGTGCCGAAATCCGCAGTGCCCAGGCGCGGTAGAGGTTCGGTGGGGAAGGGTACCACACCTATTTTTCCTCATGACAACACTGTTCTTTTTTTTCTTTTTTTTTTTTTTTTTTTTGCAAAAAACACAATGCACTGTTCATTTTAGAGCATGCTCACACTAGGCCCTCAAACTCGCAAATCACAAAATGACCGGCCAGATTGAATCCCTGTAAAGGAAGGACTAGATCTGGCCGCTCATTTTGTGATTTTGCGGTTTTTTGAGAGCCTGGTGTGAGTATGTCCTTAGGCTTAGGAAAAACCCAACTTTTGGTTTTGTCAAAACAGGCCTGGATGGAGTGGTTGTTTAACAACAACTATATACCCAGCTAACAGCATTTTGTTTTTGCTTAGGAACGGAAGGCCGAAGAATTAACTCTTAGCTTTTTTTTTTTTTTTTTTTTTCTCATCTGTAGTACGAACCCTAACCACGGTTAGCAACCCTTTTACATCTTGGAAGACTATTGCTGCCCCGCACCGCAGCAACCTCCCCCCACTCTCCTAGCAAAGCCACATCAGCGATGATCTCCCCTTCTGGGTAGAGGGAGAGGGGATCAAACCGACTGCCCACTGAACGGTGTAGATTCATTTGTTTGTTTCACATAAAGACAGCGAGGAGTACCGGGCTTCGACATCGCTGCCCTCTTGGAACCCACCCATTTGCTTGAGCACATCGTCTTCATCGTCCCGTTCACTGTTATCGGCCACAACTGGCTGCAAGAGATGCAGAGGAGTCGTCAATCTGCAGCAGCTGCTCCACAAAGGTCACCACCATCTCTGTTGATCTTGATGATCTTGGCAGCTCTCGCCAGACGAGAGATGGTTAAATGAGGGCCAAAAATTCGCCGTTTTCGCCGACAATTGTGGTGCAAAATTCAGCGAAAAATCCGAAAACAAACGATATGGGCCCATAGTGCAAAACAGAAACAGAAACAAACAAAAAAAAAAAAAACAGGGCAAAGAAAATTGAAAAAAAAAACAGGGCTGAAACGGTATTCACCAGTTCGAAGTAGTTGATGCAGATCCCAGGGCTCGATCCCTAGTTCCCCAACTTACCTGTGTACAATACCTGTGTCAACTCGAAGAATTGAACCTGCGACCYGTAGAACCGCCAGTGGTAAGTAGGTCTGTCGTAGGTCTATAGGTAGCCAGGATTCGATCTGTAGACCTGTAGATTAGTAGTCCAGCTGCAGTCCTTCTAGAAGGTTGGCAAGTAGTCAAGTGGTGTGACTAAAGCAAGCCCACGTTGTAGACGAGGACAAGTGGCGAGGTCAAATAGTAGGACCCCAGTGCAACTGCACTGCGTCGTAGGGTCGTCGCCATGCAGTCATGGGAGAGTCTAGAAAGTACCAGTCCGGTCCAGCAAGTACCACSGGGGGGACTGTGTGCACCATGGGCCAGGGATACAGGGCAGACCAACGCAGCGCAGAAGTATAAATCAAGAGGCTGCGTCCAGCCATTGACTCRTTGAGGCGGAAGCCATGCGGTAGCGCTGCCACAGCGTCTAGTGCGAGGAGGTCTGCTGGAGGCCCGAAGACGAAGGGGGCAAGAGTGAAGCTCTGTAGTCATAGCGATAGGTAGTGGCAGCCATAGCTGCCRTAGCTCAGTGTAGAGTGCAGAGTGTGTATACTKTGTGTGTGTTGGGTACGAACACTGAGTGTGCGTGTGGGACATCCAGGGTGATCCAGAGTGCGAACAGTGAGTTGTGTGGGCGCTCRGTCGCCATAGCCAGTTTGAAGAGAACTCTTACCTGGTTACGATATCTTTGAGTACTGTGTGGGCGCATGTCGCCAGTTTGCTGTTTCGCTGTTTGCAAGCAAGACGAGTGTGAATAATCGGAGTGTGATTGCANACGATATCTTTGAGTACTGTGTGGGCGCATGTCGCCAGTTTGCTGTTTCGCTGTTTGCAAGCAAGACGAGTGTGAATAATCGGAGTGTGATTGCAGGGCAAAGAAAATGAAAAAAAAAACACACGAAAACACTATAAAACCCTAGCACAGAAACAGCTTCCGAGTACATGTAAAGAAAGTGAAGCGTCCAACGAACTCGAGGAAATGCCAACTTTTTCATTATTGATCCAAACATGTAAAAACTGGACACATGACGTACCCTGAAGCACATACATATCACACAAAAAGAAAAACAAGGCAAAAAGCGAAAAATCAGCACGATATGACAGTTTCGGTGGAAAACATGGTAACCCTGGATGCAGACACCGGACACATCTGGACTGTCTTCCGGACCAGTATCTGGACCGGTCCGGACTGTCCGGTGATCCGGACATCACCGGACACCGGACAGTCTGGACCGGTCCCCGGGGTGCAAAAATGTCCGGACCCAAAAAAAAAAAAAAAAAAAAAAAAAAAAAAAAAAAACGGGGGGGGGGGGGGGGGGGGGGGGGGGGGGGGGGAAACCAGATGAACACGGGAGATGATGGGGATGAAGAGGAAGACGACGTGTGATGAAGAAAGAGACGAAAGCTCAGAGGGGGTTATGACTTTTTTTTTTTTTTGTTGAAAATGTGGCTTTTTTTTCTTTTTTTTGGTTGAAAATCTGACTTTTTTCTTTGTTTTTTGAAAATCTGAACATGTGAGGGAAAAACAAAAACAAAAAACCGTGAAAGCGTTTAAGAAGAAGAAGGAGAACAGGAAAGCTCTAAGACGAAGATGATGAAACGTCATGAGCGGATATGGCGCCACAGTCAAGCCAGGCAGTCGACCAGGTTGAAATGAAAGAGGAAGATGATGAAGTTCACAATGTGGCAGGATAAAGGTAAATGAGAAGATGGAAAAGCTACGAGGAAGATGAAAGCACGAAGAAGAGAAGGAATGCAGCTTTTGCGTAAATGAGTCCACATTCAGTCAATGTAGTCCTCATCTGCGATGAACTCACACCGAAACGAAGGTTCAGGGGGCGATGCCAACAAAACCCG